ACGCCCTGACCGAGCTCGCCCCGCCCGCAGACGGTGTGCGCGCACTTCCGCGGGGCGCCCATACCCGCGCAGCTGTGCGGGGTCCGGCGCTACCTGGACAGCGCGCTGCGGCAGAAGGAGTTCAAGTACACCTGCCCGCACAGCTCCGAGATCCTGGCGGCCTACCGACCCGTGGTGCACCCCCGCTAGCGCCCCAACTCCGCGCCTCCGCCCGCCGGCCCGGCGCCTCCAGCCGCCTCTGCTCCTGCGCGCATCCCACACCCCGGGGACCAGAGGGCCCGATCTCTGCCACCCCTAAGCCCCCACCCGAGGCTGCGTTCCAGATGACCGGGGCAGAGAGGTCGACGGGCGGGGCACAGCCCACCCCCCACTCAGGCCGGGACTGGATTGGGCTCCCAAACCAGTCAGGCCAGGGTGGAGTGGCAGGATGGCCAGGGAGGGCGGGGAGCGGAGCCTAGCCTGGGCACCTCAGGGCTCCCAGCCAGAGGGTGGAGTGGCCCACATTCCTCAGCCCCACCCAGGCAGCAGGCCACTCCCCTCTCTCCCGTAGGACCTACTGTGCGCACGGTACAGGGTGAGACCATGCCCTGCTGGGTGGGGGTCTGGAAGAGGTGCGTGCCCCACGGGGTGGAAGAGTTCCAGCCCTGGCCCTGCCCGGCATGACCCTCTCTGCCCCTGGCTGGCCGGGCAGCGGGAGCTGGGCGGGTTGGGAGAGCCTGGAGGCTCCTCCACCAGGGATGGAGAGCCTGACACATCTGTTCACGTCCTGAGGCCCACACCCAGATGGGAGGCAGGACTGGGGGGAATGCCTGATCCCTCTCCCCCAGCCAATCCCCAAGAGCCAGAACCCGGCCATGACCTCCGCTGAGGAAGTCGTTTATTTGATGGGGAAGGGACTCGAGAAGCAGGTGTGTTCCTGCCGGGCAGCGGGAGGCACAGGTGGACGTTGTACAGTCTCGAGGGCTGCCCCTCTTCTCACAGGCAAAGTCCTGCAGCAGGGTCAGAGGTCATCAAAATCGACACCACTGGCTGGTTTCTTACTGGGAGAGAAGAGGGGGTGACATTAGGGCATTATAACGGGAAGGGCAGGGTCCAGGGCTAGACCCTGAGCACAGGAGGGAGGGGCAGTGGGTGGGCACCTTTTGAAGCCAGGGTTGATGAGGGACTCTCCGGGACACCGCCTCTTGGCCCCAGGTCCAGGACAGCCTCTCTGAGAATCTGGGTCTAGGAAAAGCAAGGTGTGTGCGTAGGGGTGTCCTGAATGCAGCAGGAAAGATCCCAGGGCCACAACCCCCTCTCCACGTAGATAGAGCCTCTCTCTGGAGCTTGAGGCTTGTTCTGGGGAAACTGAGTCACAGAGGAATGAGCCCAGCCTCAACCCAAGGGAGAGGTGAGAGGCCTTACCTGGTAAGAACTGCTGAGGCCCCACTGGCCAAGGGCTCTTCTTGGGGCTGGCGGCTATCTCCTCGGCAGCTGGGGGGGAAAGCCAGGACTGGAGGCAGGAGCGAGGGGGTCCCCCGGTGAGGCTGCGGGGCGCCCGCCCCACCCCTACCTGCCAGCCGCCGCTCCAGGCTGCACACGCGCTCGGCCAGGCTCAGCGTCAGCGCCTGCAGCCTGGAGGCTGCCTCCGGGCCCGGCACTTTGGGGAGCTCAAACTCCAGGGCGGGGGGCCCCGCGGACAGGGTCAGGGAGGCGCCGGCCTCCTGCACAGTGACAGTCACAGGCTGCTGCTCGGGGGCTGCCCTGGGGACAGAGGGGCGCTGAGCGCCCGG